CAGGCCAGCATTTCTGCATTTCCACAAACAATGCAGCAGGTAATTGGTATTACTCAAATAATCCAACAGATTATTAACATAGTTCAACATGTGCACAGATAATCTGCAATACGCCATAGCACAGTTACATTACTGTTAGTCACTCAAGTTGAAGCTGTTTCGTATAGTAATTGAGTGCTCAGCCCTTTCACTTGTGTCACAAAATTACAGTGAAAGTCTTTGCGTAAAAAAGGCAAAATGTTGAAAAACAAGCAGCCTACTATTGCAAAGTATGTGATACAATAAAACCCACAAATCCAACTAATAGTTCTCTTGAGGAGAGTGAAATCTGGTTAAGTTTCCTTTGGCAACAGCAGAAAATTCAGTATGCGTGGTAAGGCTGATGACAAGTAGAGCTACCGCTACTACAGACCTATCCTGCACGCACATTCATAGTGTGGTCACAGCAAGTGTGTGAATGAGAAACAGCCCATCCCGGTATTCTGTCTTTTTCACATAGAAATGTACGTAGAAATCCAGATTCAGACCATGAGGTAAGGTATCAATTGAGCATATGCAACAGAGCTAGGGCACTTTTCCTGGATCTGACAATCTTACACGGGTAAAGAACTCAGAGCATGTAATTCAAATGGTGATTTTTGTTTTTTAATTATAATTTTTCTTTTATCTATCCCAGCTACCATGACAGACATGGTAAATAAATCACATTAGACAGTACTACATGTGGTTGAGATCTGCAGCAGTGTTTTGCTTTTATTTCAGGAATAAATGCCAGAACATCCAGGAAAACAGCTCATACAAGAACAGTTCAGTGGTTTGGAGACACTGGAACTAAGACATCACATCTAACAGTCAGTTCTGCTATACTTGGAGAGAATTGTGGTGTTTTGGACACAGGTGAAATGTGAGAAAAGTTACCTACATCTCATGTGCAAACCTGAAGTTACACCATAAGAATAAAAGAGAATTGCACATTTAGCGGAAGAGACATCATCACCAAAATGAGTCAGGCAAGTAATTCAAATCAGAGTAAACATAAATTTAGCTTAAAGATGCTTTCCTTTTTTTTTTTTTTTAAACATTTTAATTACATTTTTGAGTACTTCCTAGACAGAAGTATTTTCTGAAAATGTATACTAAAGTGAAGGTGGTAACTCCAATGTTAAATTAGTATAATACTAAACTGTAAACCAAAGCAAAATAATATTACTTCTGTTGACTTTAGTAACTTGTAAACACTTTTATTTGCTTGTATAAATGGCAATGATAGATTTCTTAAATGAGTATTGTTTGAAAAATAATTCAAGTGCATTCTAAAAATGGAGTTTTGTTTTTAATAGCTTCTATCTGATGTCTCAAATTAGTCATAATTTCATTCTGAGATGGAGATAATTCTCTTTCACAACCAAAAACCTTCAGATCTGTTGTTTTAAAAATGACTTGGGAAAAATACATACAACATCTTCTATCAAAGGCTACCATTTGTTGATAGCGCTGACTTCGTTATGGAAACACCACAGGTTTTTTCCTATTATTATAGAGTAACTGTTTTAAGTGCTCATTTTTTCAGCTGAGATGGTGTAATGTTCCTGTATTATAACAACAAAACAATCTCTATTATGAACACTACACCTCTGGAAAAAAAAAAAACACTGATAAGTTTTTTATAGAAAGAGAACAACCCTGAGGCATGAAGATGCTATTCTGTTGGCCACAACATTCAAAAGCAGTAAATAAACCAGTAAGATTCTGGTGCACTATTTCAGAGTTTCTAAATTTTGAGCTAAATACAGAGTCATGAGGAACACACAAGCAGACGTTAGAGCTTCTATACACAAAGGCTTGGAAACGCAAGCCACAGAAAAGGAGGGTTGATGTCATGCAAGGAACTCCACAGATCTTTCCATATCTTGCACCAGCAGAACAAAGCAGTTGGGCTGTTGGAATGTCTCACTACTATTAAAGCCTTCTAACATGGATCTACAATCTGAATTCATGGAAATACAATAAAGTCACACTGAATGACAAGAATTTATGTGGCGCTTTTTTAAAAAAACAAAACAAAACAGCTTCCTGGAAATAAAAGGCTACATAACCAGTAACACAACCTGCTGCCTTCTCCCTTCCTTGTCTTGGTTGTGTCCTATAAAAATCACGCTCAAAGTTCCCATTAAATTTATCGCACCACAATATTTTGCTTTCAGGTGCTCTCCCCCTCTCTTTCTCCCCTCCCCACTTTCAGAATGCATCTCCAAGCTACTAATACTCCAGTAAAGATATTTAACCAGTGTTAGTCACCTTAAACAGCGTAACATCTTAATTTCCAGGTACCACATAAGGACAGTTATACTGATCCTTCCAGTTTCTTGTCTTCTCTAATTCCTTAGGGGATTCACATTAGATAACATCTAGTCGTCATTATGTGGTTATGTATCTAGCCGAGAGGGAAAACTTTATAGTACAAAACTGCCATCCTGAGCCTACCAGGGAAACAAACAAACACACACACACACACCCGCCAACAGAATTTAGGTCCTAATCCTGCAAACATGCAGGTACTCAAAACCAATTCAATGGTATTATTCAGAACATAAGAAAAAGCTTGTGAAATGAAACTAAATAAAGCTTCATAAAACCAAAGAAATCCTCCACTTTTTTGCATGGTTGGAGTTCCTTGTCCAAAGAAGCAGAGGTAAAAATAACCACTTCGTAACTACTTCCTTTTCATCTAGTCTTTTTTCTTCACAGATCCCTGGAGAATAAGTGTTAAGTCTCAGCACTCCAAAGAAGAGGAGTTGATTGATTTTATTAAGATTCCCTTGCCCTCCATACAGAAATAAAATATGAAATGCATGATAAACAGATTTTCAGATATTTTTATTTGTTAGAGCTAATTCCTGCATTTTCTTCATAAAACTTACTCAGCTTGTACCCACAGTATTCTTGCCCAAATTTCAAGTTGCTCTAAGCAGGCATTAAATCCAGACTGTCACCCCATACATCTAGTTTTCTTTTGCCTCAGAACAGCAAACCTAAGATTAAAAAAAATTAAATCCCTCGATGAGAGAAACACGATCACTTCTCCAACCAAGTAGGTATTTCTGTAACACTTTTGTGACTTCCCTATTTCTCCATTCCCGTCTTTTTCAAGTCCTTCTATTATTGTGGTATGTGTTAAAGAGCGTCTGGCCAGACCATGCCAGCTCATTGTCTCCCACATAACGGTTCCAGCCAACACCCTTACTTCAGATATTCCTCTTTCTGTCAAGCCTCCCATCCCTTCACTATTGCATTAGACTGGCTGCCAGTAATTCATTCAAATTCTCCCTCTGCCAATTTCTCCCTTTGTACTTTCTACGGCAGTCATTTTACTGTCCTCTGTGCCATTTTAGACATTGGGAAAAACATGGGTATAGCCTCATTCCACATTTCTATGGCACAGCAGTCAAGAGGAACAATTGCAGATAGACACCAGCTCAGCTCCAGTAGAATTCTGTACCACACTAGTTTTCCAACATTTCTCAAATTCTATTCAATTAAAACATCTGTCACTAGAGACAAAATACTGTGAATTAAAATCTGACAACAGGCTCGAGTATCAAATGTATCTTGTGAGTTTCTCAGAAGCAGCTTCAGTTTCCTCCAGTGGGTCTATGGACCACAAGCAGAAACCTATTAGAGGAAGAGGGGTGTTCAGTCACGTGTGTGTATCTGTGTATAACACGTGTGTGGTCTGGTGAGTGCCCGAGAGATTTGTCAGGGAAAAAACATGCAATGTTCAGTGGAGGCAAATCTTCAGAATACAGAACAAAGTATGTAACAAAAGTCATGTCTCTAACTCCAAGAGCATTCCATTATATTTCAAGTCCCTAACTCAAATTTTGATTAACAGAAAAGGCTTTTAATGAAATGTGTTCTCTAAATTCATTCTCATACACACATTAATAGTTTTACTGGAAACTTTACAAAATAAAAAAGAAGTCTTGCATATTTTGAGTCAAGAAGAGCAAAGTTTGACAAGCTTTCAAGCAGCTGGAAACAGTTTTACCAATGAACATCAGGTAATCATAACCAAAACTTCAATACCAGCTCCACATATCTGTGTCAAGCAATCACTAAAGGCATGTTTTAATGTTTAAGTTTTTAAAGGTTATAAGGAAAGATTATTTACATAATTAAATTTGATACTTAATACTACTACCTTGTCCTTCCTTCAGTGGCAGTGATCGCTGTCAACCCTACATCATTGAGTATTACAACATAAGCAGAGAGGAGGTGAGTAAAAACAGCCTATGCTTTGTTTTTTAACCCATTATAAAACTGTAACATCCAACATGGAATTGTAAACAATTTCATTTACAGGAAAGAAAAAAAAAAAAGAAAAAAAAAAAAGGTGTCCCCACAGGTAAAAAGACATCCTTTCAGTAAAGACAACAAAGTACTCAAAATATAGTTATAAAATTTTGGCATATGTCTACTTGCATGGTCCATGCCAAGGACCTGTATGGAGAGGATGTGTAAGGTGGGTGGAAAGGAGAAGAATGGGGTAATGCAGTTTGTTACAGGATTAAGCTAAATGTTCAGAATTCTCTATATACAGACATACAGAAAGACATTCTACAGAGCCAGACAGTAAAGAGCAATTTGTAATAGCTGGCCACCGTGCACTGAATTCCTTTTTTTCCTTAGCAGCTGCTTGAGAGATACAATAGGTAATAGCACTGCCATGCTGCCAGGTAACACTGAAATTGTGAAATTTATAAGTACAGCAATTTTACTGTGAAGAAAACTGCTAATAAAGATCCTAATGAACAAGAAGAGTTTTATCAGGAGCATACGAAGTCAAGTTACATTGATGCCACAGATATTATCTCTGTGCTTTAAAAACCTCTCGGTATTTCTAGATTCATTCCACTGGAAAAAAAAAAAAGAAAAAAAAAGAAAAACGAAGGTAAACCATATACATACAGAAACACACTCACTCAAATGGCACTCATTGCTTTTTGTACAATTAAGCTTTAGTGAAAATATACATCTTAAAACAAATGAAGTACAAATGTACAAAAATCCTTGAACTCAGATAAAAAATATATATAATACACTTTGCTACAGAGATAAAAAACATTTAAAGTTTGCTCATCCTTTCTGATGACAGCAATATGATTTAAAGTCTGGAGGACTCCTGCTCATCATCACTGCAATCAGATTTAAAGCAGACCTGCAAGAGAAGGCAAAGAGACAATTCAGCTGCAGAACTGACACTGTTGTCGGTCTGTGTGTTTTATGGGACTCGGAAAGGCTGGGGAGGGGGAATGTGAGGTTGCCCTTTTTCCAGCACATTTTACTCCATACTAACTAAATACTTGGAGAATACCAAAGGAAACCACAACCCAACACCGAATCTCGTCATTTACATTTCGTTTAACCTTAAGATCTTTCCTTCTTTTAACTTCACAGGACAATTAACAGCAGCCACATTACTTCAAAAACATATTCAAGCCATATTAAATTTTTTCAGACTCTCTCAAGACATAGAAGCATATCTTGGGACAATATGAACCCTGCTGATTCAGCCTGAAAAGACTACAGTGAGACACAAGTTTTAATTTGAGCTAGTCTGAGATTACTGGTACACGTAACCATTCCTTCTATTCCGTTACTGGAGGTGGAGGAAAAGTGAATTTGAAAAGGTGAACTAAAAATGACAGTACCATTATACATTCCATTAGCATTGTATGGTTTTAAAGAGGTGAATTGCCTGCTGACGACAAAAAATATCATCATGCAATTTTAATACATGGCCCTGTTGAGGCTACTTAATGAGGTGCTCCCAGCAATTTTACAATTCCATTTCTGCTTGAAAGCAAAAAGTAATTTCTACAGAAGTGTTCTCTACTGGAATATACTCATGCTTCTCAAGTTAATTCCAATTTAAGTGCAGGCATACTGAGCAAGCAGAATTGCATATAACATCTTCAACTGCAAACCTTTACAAATAGCCTATTTCTCACAACCTATAAACAAGCACAGTATGCCATGTGTCTTTGAAGTGGTAAATAACTCAATTAATATACCTCAAAATGTTTACTAAAGAGTACAAGTTTTATCTGTAAGTACAAGTGTGCATTATCAGAAGCTATTTAAGCACATGTTGTTGCTTTGGTAAAGGCATTAAACTTCCTAAGGTATTTTAACATGTGTTTTGTGACAATTCTTCACACTCATTCATTTAGGGGATATTTTTTTTTAGGTGATATTTTAATTTATTTTCTTAATACACTAGCATGACACACTGGGAGCCCAATTTTCTCAAGGATCAAGTTGTAGGAGTGGCATTGCTCTACCACACTCACTTCTCAGTTCAGTAGTCAATTTTTAAAAACTTCTGTAAAACATTTTTTAAAAGTTCCATTTTTATCTCTGAAGTCATCTCCCCAGAAGTTTTTTGTAAGAACTGGCAAAATATGTAAGGAGCAAGACCAAAATGAGTATCTTTAGGAAAAAAAGATGTATAGCACAGTTGTTAACAGCACACACTATCTTCTCCTCAGGTAACAGCTAGCAGGCACTAGAGGAAGACCAAATGCTGAGGCAATAGGGAGTGGTACAGTTTCTCAAATGAAGTGCAGGGGCAAAGCCATAATAAAACAGATTTCCTTAGCTTTAGTATTTAGTGAACTTTTTCTTTTTCCTATCATAAAATGATTTTTAAAAAATGGAATGGATGTTAAGGTCTTACTGGTAATTTTCTTATGTAAGGAAAAAAATACCCTTACCTCGCCACTAAAAAGTCGGTGAAAGAAGCCTCTCTTTGGTTTAGGAGACCTCTCTCTGTCTGGTGACACAGTACCATCAGTTTCACACGCATTGATATCTTCAAAGCATCCTGTTTCAATCATCTTTGAAACATATGAAATATAAATGAAATATCCACACAAGCCTCTCAAACATGTTCCATGTATTAGCCTGGCTGGGTACTCCCTAACAACGTACAACCATTCATAGAGCTCCATGAAGGAAGGCACAAAGTCTACATTAACTCTCTTGTGCACTCAGCAAACTGAAGAGCAGCAATGAGAGCACTATCAGGCAGGTTAAGTACTCAGACACTCCCTTGCTTTGGTAAGGCATTTTCAGAAATTGATTTTCCTTTCCTCTATTCTGCTCACTTCAGAAATGAAAATACAACAAATATAACCTCTCCATATCCTGGACTGACTTTTATTCATAAACATGACATTGAGTAGGAGAAACTATTCTTCTACATAGAATACTAGTACCTGCTTCAGGGGTACTTTTTACAAAGAGGACAAAATTGCACACTCGGAGAAAAAGCAGCTGATACCTGATCGCAGCAATTTAAACATTATTCTGGCATCTTGGGCCACCACATATCAAAACACAACTAACATATACCATAATTAGAAATAAGGCAATGAGATAGAGAAGGTAACGCTTCATGGGAAAGAAAAAAAAATAAAATATAATGACAGGTCTCCGGAGAGAAGCAAGGGATTTTGAAATAATCTGTATTGGTGTACACAGAAAACAGAAGAATTAAACCCACAATTACTAGGTGCTGATTTTAAAACAGACATGGTCTGAACGGGGAGAATGTCTAATGCCTACATGTAGCTGGCATTTGCCAGTGAGTGCCACTGCTACGCATCTAGCATAAGGGGCATGAAACCAGGCGAGTGTACCTTGGAGAAGGGTAGAGAGCAAAAAAAGGAGTAAGAAGAAACAAGGTCTGCTTTTGGTATAAAGCATGACATTAGATTAAGTATGGGAGGGGAGGAGGAATTCTGAAGAGACCGAGAGCAAAAATTTGAGGAAAAGCTCAGTAACATAATTTGAAAGAAAAAATAAGCACAAATGCAAAATGAAGTCTGCACAGTTACACCTTGAAGAGAAGGAATTACCATTACCAGTATTCCACAACTATTCTACTTTTAACTTCATTCCCCTATGTGGGTTAGAGTTACTAAGCTGGAGTGCATTTCTTAATGACTGCATCATATTCTGAAGTTCAGAATTATAACATAGCATAGGAAATATTTATTTGTCCAACAGCCTAGAGTTCATTGCTTCTTAGTGAAGACTTTCTATGTCAAATGATACCTTCCAAATCTCCTTCTTAATGAAAGGCAAAAAAAAAAAAAAAGGCAAAAGGGAAACCAATGGGAACGTAATTTTTTCTGTAACTTGTTCAGAAATTGCTCATCCTTTGTGTTCAGCTTTAAAGAAAATTTTTAAATCATACCAGAAGGCAGCTACACTAGCAGAATTCAAGACAACATTAATTTCAGAAAGTTATGAACACCTTATAATAGGGGGAAGTTCTAATAAGAACTACAATTTCAAATAATTATTACTGAGTGCTTTTCCTGAATTAATGAAGATGTGAATTTCCTAAATACAGACTGAATTGCATGCAGAGGTAGCAAAGCTCTAGGATTCTATGCAGAATACTAGAATATTCATTCACTGAGCAGATGCAAAGCTTAAAAAGAAAGTCTGACTCAACCCATGTTGAATTGTTTGTTTTGAAACCTTAGAAAAGGTGAATCTGCAGTTCTGTATTACTGTGTCACTTGGATACTCTATTGATACACAGGCATGATACACAAACAGCTTGCACTGTGCCTGTCTGGATACTTTGAATAGCATGCTATCCCTCTTCCATGAACAGCAATATTAAATAACATGATAGAGTAAGGAGGAAAATGTGGTCATACTGATGATAAACATTGTTCTCAAGGCTGGATCTATGAGGACAAGATGCCAGATTCTATTTATGCAAATTTACCATAGATCTCAATTTTTAGCAAGTTGTTTTATGTTTCAGGAAAAACGTTTTTCTGAAGTCTCTCAGCAAATAAATCTAAACCAGAAACTTCTTTACATCTCACAGAGAAAGTTAATGTTACAATTATATCCCTTACTAAATCTTCTGTATTGCTGTGTTAAATAAAATCATCTTTAGTAAAATATACAATACCTCATTTTGCCAAGGGATTGAGACACAGCCTGTAACAAATTTGGAATAGAAGTCGTCATCTGTAGTATCCAGGTTGACTCCTTTTACTGTTGAGAACTGCTCTATGTCCAGGACATCTTTACAATACACGGCACGTGGCTGCAGTACAATACAAGATTGCTTCATTAAGGTTTTGGGTTTGGGTTTTTTGTGGTTTGTGTTTTTGTCTTTCCTAGATGAGCAAAGGGGGAGTGAAATGTCTGCTATTGTTTTATTCCACACTGCCAATCACCAAATTGTGCTACAAGAGACAAATACAAAAACTTAAGACTCTCATCATGAGGCACCTGAGCAATTCCATCCATCCTACCAGTAACAGAAAAGAAATATCAAAATCAGAAACAGCATGTCACTTCTCTGGATTTCTTAATGGCTGTCATAATTCACTCATCTTCTGTCACCCTCCTTTCAACTCCAGAGTAATTTTTTCAAAGCTCACCTTCAGTTTTCCAGCATCTGAGCTAGAGAAGTAGACTTTTAAGGGCTAAGAATCAGTTATAGGGTGCCCTAGAGCAATACCACTCTTGCAAATTGGTTTGTGCTCTCAAATGAAATGCCACAAAACAACTAGCTGTCAATAGCTACAGTAGCATTCTCCTGCCAATTTAACTAAAGGTTCCTCTGGAGTCCCTGCTGACATAGAATTATGACAGTTCTTGCCTTTTTAGATACTAATCAAATCTGTCTCACCTACTTACATCTGGCAAAAATGGAGGTTCTAACATGTTAGCTTCCAGCCTCTTGAAGTTAATATTCTTGAAAATAGGATGTTGCTTTACAATAGCAGCTCCATCTTCAGTGCAACCCAGTCGTTCCCCTGGATTTTTAGCAAGTAACTGCAAAGATATGGAAAAAAAGGCTGATCCAGTGATATAATCTCACAACTCAAAATAATAATAAAATTTATATATAATGTCTTTCACTAAGTTTATTCTGTTCTTTGGCCTTTTAGGAGATGAAATTTATCATGGTATCAAAATGAACTGGAAATCCAAACTATGACATTCCAGGAACAAAAAGATTTTTAGCAGACAAAAGAATCTCTGAAAGCAGACTATTTGAAGATTGCACCCAAAGTTATATGAAAACTTTTTAATTGATGCCATGCTGAATAGATTTGATAGTATAGACTCTGCAGCAGACTTCACTTCCAGGAAATAGAGACTTTTTTCTAGTGAGCTGCAATACAAGTAGTTTTCATAAACAGTAAACTTTTGAGGCTTCCTGTATAGATGTGCTTCTTATTAAACTTAAGAACATGCAAGATAAAAGTGTTGTCTCATACAGACTCTTTCAGGGAAGGAAACTAGTACACTACTCTGCCATTTCTCCCCATACAGTATCAAATTTGAGCATGCTAATGTACTCCATCTGTAATTACAAGCAATCCAAGGAGTACCGGGGCTTTTTATTTGCTCGATGAAATATCATTTATGCAGCCTTCCTTCATCTTGAAAAAAGTCCTGCATTCTCTGAACAATTCATGGACAATGACAAACTTTCATCTGAACCAAAGAAAGACTTAAGAACTCCAAGCTCTGAAAAATATTCAAGCGAAGACATTAAAATAAAGTAGTTCATCTCTTAAAAAGGATTAGAAATTTAATTTTCAAACCTCTATGTCTCTTCACCCACCATCCTGCAGATGGATTTTGCCTCCTCTGAGAACTTGTCTGAATACGTTTCCTGGTCTTCCTTTACTCTCCGATCAATCTCATCTCGTTTGACCCTTTCCTTATGTTTCCTGAATGGAGACTGTCCTTCAATCATTTCATAAATCAAGCACCCAAGACCCCACCAATCCGGGCTGAACGTATACTTTTCATTTTTGAGCACTTCCGGAGCTACAAAATAAACACATAGAAACCCTCATGACAATTCACTTTAAAATAACTAATTAAATATTGAAAACACACTCAGGTACTCTTTTGGCTCTGTGCAGAGATCTCTGCGTAACTCCTATGCACTTTGAACAAATTATCATTTATACAGGGAGGATTCTGTTTATAAAAAGAAGCACTCAAGTTCTTTAATCCTTAAGATCAGTATTATTTACAAACGAAAGATGACATTTTTCTGAAGCACAGAAAGAAATGTGTATTCGTCTGCATATTTGTGACCCTAAATCTCTATGAACCTCAGTAAAAAATTAGGTGCTTTCTAACAGCTCTACCTAAAGCTAGAATTTCCAGACTTAAGTTTTCAAGTTTATCAGCAGGCTTATAATTGACTACTAACATCTACCACTGCATACTGTACCCTTTTTTCCCATAAAACGTCTAGTAACTAAACGAGACGCAATGTAGTTTTTTGAACAAGTCATTCATATATTCACAGAAGCAAATTTTCTGGTAAGGGATAACTAGCAAAGGATACTTCACATACCCATGTAACCAACAGTCCCAACCCGTCCTCGGACCGTTTCTCCTTCTGGAATCTGGACAGCTAATCCAAGATCTGAAATTCTGATATGCCCTATTTATGTTAAAATAAATTATACACAGTCAGCAAAATAAAATAAATTACATATAGTCAGCAAATAATAAAGTATCACTTTTAAAACAAAATATTTCTGTAGTATACCTCATCAAAAAGCCACCCCAAAGCATCAAAACATTCATATTCTCATATCATTAAGTTTATTTAATGTAACTACAAAGGAATGATTTATCATTACTCAATAATTACATCTTCAACTCAGACTTAAAGAGAAAATTGCCAATCTGTAGTAGAAAGAATGAAGGGTAAAAAAAAAAAAAAGACAAACCAAAACCCACACTGATTTCTAATACTGGATATAAGGACAGGGACACGGCCATTAACAGAAACATCACAGATTCACGGAACAGTTCAGGCTGGAAGGGACTTCAGAAGGTCTCTTCTCTTGCACCACCTCCCTGGGTAACCCATTACAAAGCCCGAGTGTCCTTTGTGAATATATTATCTGCCATTCAAAAAAGCTCTACAGCACCAACGTTAGTCAATAGCCTATTAATTTCTTATTTATCAGTGATAGATCATCAAGGGGTGGGAAGAAAGACTGAGAAGGTCAAATGCCACTCTATACACTGGTTGGAAATAACTAAATGTTACTGAGCAGCAAATGCTATTTTAAATACATTCAGATGCTCTTCTACTCCCTGACATCTGATGAACCCCTTTTCAAGTGCAGGATCTGAGCTCCTGAAGTGATTTTCTCATTAGTCCCTTCTCTCTGGAACAAGATCAGAATATCCCTGGCAGAGAGAAAGCATTCTAGTGCAGTCCTGCAAGACTACACTTTTCCTCAAACAAGCCTTCAGCTTTCGCAAGACATTGCTGGAGAGAAAAATTCAAGAATGCATGTGATGTCTAGCAAAGCTTTAGCTCTTGGAAAGTGAGTTCTCCCAGGCATCACCTTTGTAGAAATATATCAGTCAGAACATGCTGACTTTAATATAAATAAAATTGTGCTACTGAGTTCAAAACCAGTTTTTCATTAACTAAAATACTCAGCAATTATAAGAATAAACTGCTACTATTCATCCACAGTGTCGAAGAAGGTAAGTGCTGCATATGTTCTACAGTGAATTCAAAAGATCCTGATAAAACTCATACAAAGTCATTAAAGAAAATTGATTTGACTTTTGAAAACCAAAACTACAAACATTCCTCCATAGTCGTTATACTTCCTTGACTCCTTCCAGCCACAGTGACTATCAGACCTGTTTCAGTTGAAATGTTAAACCAGAAATGCTTCAGATTTCTTCTTTATTGCTACACATTATAGTCTACACTAAGCAAAATTCTGTCCCCACATCTAAAAATCATGTTTCCATAGTTAAAAAAAAGAGACAGAGAACAAATCCATATAACAGTTTTTGTCATCTTAAATCAAGCGGAGGAGGGAGAAGGAGGAGCAAAAGGAGAAGAGTAGCTATTTTAAGGTAGAAAACTGACCCCTCAAACTTCCTCATCGTTGTCCCCCAAAGATCCAGGATTATTTCCTACTTTGTAAAAACGAAGGGCAGGGTTTTTTTTTTACTAATTAAAGTTAACATTTGTCAGTCAGGTCTCTTTTATTATGAAGAAATCTCTTTGATTTATGGCACAATATGAATGAGATTTGAAATTCCCAATTTCAAAATAATTTCAATTTTTACTTACCACAGTCATCAAGAAGTATATTCTCAGGCTTCAGGTCCCTACAAATTAAGGAGAACAGAAATGTTAATTAAACAAAGGCAAAATTATTATCCATCATCAAGTAAAAGTGAGGAAACGCAAGATTTCTTGGTTCTGGTTAAAGCAATTTTTCTAGTTTACACCTATATATAAAAAAGTTGTGAAGCTGAGGACCTATAATACAAATAGTTTAACCACAGAACTAGAGATCCATTTTCCCCAACTCTCTAATCCATTTATATTAACTGATATAATTCACATTTCACAGATGTTAACTTTCTCTACACAACACTAAAATCCTGATATGAAAAAAACCAAGCAAAAAAATCAGTACTTGGCTAAAGATTCAGTTATTATTGGAATAGATTATTAATAGCAGTATGTACTTGTATGGGTATAGGTACAGTTGTGAGAAAAACATTTATTCATAAACAAGCAGAAGACTGAACAATGTAAAAAAAAAGCAATTTTAGGAAGAATGCCTACAGAATTTACATTGAAAATGAGACAGAGATATACATAGATACATTTGTTCCTGTTCTGAAGTATGTGTATTCATGTTAAAGTTTAATTGTTCATGAGATTAACTCTACAAACAAGCCAGCAAGATTCTTTGCTTCTAATACTTTCAAGTGTAAACAGACCCCATAATGGTAATCATTTGACATTAGATACAAGACCACCTTAACAGAGAAATCAGGAGAGAACAGAGTACAAAACAACAACAACAAAAAAATCCCACACCAGTATCAAAAATCCAAAAAGATAATTCAGCTCAAAATGTAGGTAGAGACACATCTACTTTAAAGCACATAACACATGCTCAGGTCAACTCAAGTAAACAAGTTTAAAGAGTTTCATCTCCAAAAAGGCTGATTAAAGCCTAACGTAATATAACTAGCAGCATCTGATGCTTAATAGAAGCTAATTCTGTTCTGACATGATTTTGGTCAGTTAATAGTCAATAGTAAAACTTGTTTCTAGCCAAAAATTCCATCTTTTTAATGGTATTCATTTCTAGGCCTAGCAGTCTTCAAAGGAAGCCAGCTTTTGGAAGCATTCCAAATGATGATCAGAGGGCTGGAGCACCTCTCCTATGATGAAAGGCTGAGGGAGTTGGGCTTGTTCACCCTGGAGAAGAGAAGGCTCCGAGGAGACCATATTGCAGCCTTCCAGTACCTGAAGGGGCTACAAGGAACCTGAGGGGGACCTTTTACAAGGGCCTGTAGTAACAGGACAAGAGGAAATGGCTTTAAACTGAAAGAGGGTTGATAGGGTATCAGGAAGAAGTTCTTCCCGGAGAGGGTGGGGAGGCACTGGCACAGGTTGCCCAGAGAAGCTGTGGATGCCCCATCCCTGGAAGTGTTCAAGGCCAGGCTGGATGAGGCTTTGAGCAAACTGATTCAGTGGAGTTTGTCACTCGACGGGGTTGGAACTGGATAATCTTTATGGTCCTTTCCAACCTAAACGATCCTGAGATTCTATGATTCAGCTATCAACTCTAGCTCTGGGATGCTAGCTTTGTGGTATCAGCCTCTTCCCTTCTTCCACCATGGCAGAGGCCAAAGTCACAGTTTCTGTTGGGATACAGATGCTAGTCCTGCACTGGTTAACAGGGTACTTGAGATGAAAACCAAGGTCAAAACAAGAGCTAGCACTGCAATACTAGCAACAGAGGCAGTTTTCCCTTATGAAGCAGAGAAAGGCTGGAGGACTGCAAAGCTCACAAAAAAAATAAAACAAACAAAAAACCTCACCAGCTCATGAAAAAAATTAGATTAAAATTATATATTTATTTTAAATTGGACTAAACAAGTACTGGTCTATTTGAGCTATAGCTTACAGCAGCCTTTCTACAGAGAAATACATTTCTGGATAAAAGTCCTTCAGAGGATCTCACTATAAGCATAGGCACAAGGCAGGCAAGCAGCGACTCGGTTTATCCACTACAGCTTCAACATTCATGGAGCTTTGACCAAGGACCAATGGACCTTTGACCTTCCAGGCACACTCAGTGTCACTATGAGTTTGTGAGGAAAATCGAAGTATCCAAGCAGCTTATCTGATAAAAAACACTACCACCTTTGAGGAGTCAGGTAACTCCTGCAGGAAAACTCCAGCAATTAAGTTTCTTTTTGGAAGAAAAAAAACTTGTTCCCCACTCTGTCTTATGCAAAACCTGACTCTGCTCTGAGTATTATCAGACTTTTTATGTATCAGAAGAAGTCAGCAACATATGGCAAGTTACAGATAGTTTCACAAGCTACCACTGAACAAGCAAACTGGTTCAGTTGCTATTACAGGGCAGCGTGAGATGCTCCTTCCAGCTCTGCACCTGTTCTTCTAATGCAGTGGGAACCCCACTAACAAAATGGTACAACTGACTTCAGGGTCCTACAGACAGCACTAACACCCCTGCCTGAAATTCAGTAATCACTGGTATAAAGACACAATAAAGATTGGTATTAACGGAGAGGAAAGTTAGGTCTGTTTTTTCACTTTATGAGGCATTTTGCTACGGATAGTGACACATCCCAAATATCATAAATTACTAATAAATTTTAATGTGACTGAGTTCCATTAAAACTGCCATTCTAGAACTGAACAAACTGAGGTGAACTGATTTTACTGCTATCTGATACCCATGTGCCCCAAGGATTTCCATTTTCAGAAGTTGTGAATTTCTTTTCTTTCACTGTCCCTACAGTACACTTACTGTGAACATACCAAGAGAGCCACAAAAACACATTCTGAAGAAAATATTTTATAATGGTATGTTACAGAATTGAAGTCTGCTTTAACAGTTTAAGCTATTTGTCTGAAAAGAGAGTTTAAAACTCCTCCTTTAAAGCTGGAAAACTAATGTAGAAATGACCTATTTGCAGCTAATCCATATGGGGAAAATGATGAGCAAAACCACTCATCATCCCAGCTCCCCTCCTACATGCATGCCAAAACACACTGTGTAACATTGCAAGATTGGCCAAATTCTTTAGGGAGCCACATACAACAACCTGCATAAGCCTGATTTACTCTGTGGTTCTGCCACTCTCTACGATGCGCATGCTAGTCTTCTGTACTGGGGAGAGAAAACACTAAGACTCATTATATTTAAGTTACACAGGATTACACTTTAAACTTTGTTTGAAAACAACAGGTACTTGGTGTTACACACCAGAAAAACAAAAGATAGGGTTCTTGGTCCACTACTAAGTTTGTTTTGCTTGTTCTGTAACATTAGTGCATGCCAGGGCTTAAATGATGCACGTGGAGATGGAAAAGAGAAGCAAGATCATACAATCTCAATTATAATGAGTGAGGCTTATGACAGTTTCATTATTTCAAAAGCAGTATTTACTGAAGGAACCTGAAATAAAACCAGAAGAGGGGAGTATGGATTTTAATGGACTTTTAACCCTCTAGGCTGTAAAAAGCAACACAGCAAGGGACTTCTATAGCCTTCTGTGAACATCTACTTTAGAATGGAGAGGAATACAATCCTGTGTTCCTACAACTTATTTATTTCAATTACTAATAAATTTGATACATAAATCACAATTTACTACCATTTTACAAAGAAACCTTGAAGCAACTTCATAATATTTTAGAATACAGCAAGTAGCTAGACATACATTAACAGTAAGAAGACAAATAAGATCAGTAATTCTGAAGGACATGCCATGAAAAGACTAAACACTTTATTTGCTTCTTTTACTATGCAGTTGCAGTATAAACTCGTTCTAGTAGAAAACAAAAAATTCAATGCTGAACAGACGTAGAAAGCTCAAGGTATGAGTGACTTGTAAATGACACTCACCTGTAAACAATTCTCTCCTTCTGCAAATCCTCCAGACCACAGCACAATTCTGCAGCATAGAATATAGCCCTTTCTTCATCGAAGCCAGGATTTCCCATGTTATATATGTGAAATTTCAAATCCCCTCCGTTCATTATGGTTAATACTAAACACAGGGCATCTTTTGTCTCATATGTATAGGATAAGCTAACCTAAAAAGGGGGCAGGGGGAAAAGACAACCATTATTCATAACCCCCATACAATTCCCAGTTCTTTTTTCCAATACAAACAACATAGGAATCCTTTATTAAAACAAAAAAAACCAAAACAGCTTCCTGTCCAGCACCTGAAGACACAGTGGAATCTAGACCAATTTGCATGTACACACAAACCCTACATCACCACACAGAAGTTTAGGGACCTATCTGTTCAGACACCATAGAGCTCCATCCAGACAACAGATGATGCCCCTCAGCTGCACGTTATCTGTATTATCTGTGCACGCATATACCTTACTTCATTAACACCTCAGAAATTATGCACTGTCAAACCATCTTTCTGAACTTCTACAAGATTCAAAGTTGCCCTATATCAGAGAAACTAAAAAAAGGTATTTTAAGATCAAACATGTAGTTTCTATTCTTCCCCCTGACCCTCCAAATAACTACATATTTCCCTGGCTGAGAATATGCTAACAGTAAAAGGGCTAGTATAGGTCTTTATAGTCTTTCTTCTCACTGTATTTGGTGCTGACAGGGAAGGAAGGAAGTCACATTTTTTTCTTAAGGTTTTCCTAAATGTTTGTGAAGTTTATTTAAAGTTTTACAGTAGACTTAATATTAAAAAAAAAAAAAAAATCTCTAAACCAATGTAATATACTGAAAAATTTAAAATGTTGTTTAAGTTACATGTAGATGCCAACAATTCAATGAAAAAAATCAACATTACCTGGGGAAAAGTTTACTTGGAAAAGTTTACTTTGATCATTCTAAGTTATCTCACTGCTTTGTAATTAGAGCTACTAACAGACAGTAATTTACATGATAGCATCGGGTTAAAGTATTAAGACTAAGATTTTCATTCTATGGAATTTCTATTAAGAAGTTATGTTAATGGTTTCACACCCAATATACCTCTTTAAGCCTTAGCACACAGCAAAGCCATATACCTAAACAATCAATATACAAGTCAAATTTCATGTTTATCTTGAAATGTACAAGCAATAGTGTAATGACAGCAATGAAAATACCTAAGGATATAAGAACTCTACTATTAAAACTCACAGAAATGCAGGATATGCAACTTCTAATGGCAATTAAGTGGCAGACTCTCATGAAGTCAGCCCTTTCTGAATGCTTTTAAGAATTACCTCCAGAAACTAGAAATCAGCATTAATGGTAAGAAAATAAGGGTATGGAAAGGAAGAAGGGGGTAAGAGAAGAAAACAGAGTAATGTATTCAAAGAAGACGAGACACAGAGAAGGAAAAAATAGGATGGAATAAAGTACCTGGAATACCCCCTTCATTAAACATAGGCAAACATACTCACTCATAGACTGCAGCAGAAATAGAACTGAATACTATGGAATAATCTATTCACCTTTAAACAGAGAACAACAATTCAGTGGCATCACCATGCTGAAACACAACCTAATGTTTCACTTGTGAGAAATACAAGGCAGACTAAAACCAATGCAAGATTGGATTAAAAAAGTCATCTGCACAAACTACTCACAATCACACACAAAACATACTTTTCAAGACAAACTTCTGAGAGAAAGATCAGAAGTAGATACTTACTACAAACCTACTATTCACTTTTTCTAGAATTCTTTTTTCATTTAGGGCCATTGATTCTCCTTTCCTCTTCTTTATCCTCTTTTTTTCTAGCTTTTTACAAGCATACATTTTTCCTGTTGCCCGTACTTGACAGGCACATACCTAAAAAAGATGGAAGGTGGGTCAGAGATGCTAGGGGGTTTTTAGAGATTTTTTTTTTTTTTAACATATTTTAGTTTCTTTTTTAAAAATCTTGAGTGCTCTCAGAAAATGAAGGTCTGTAAGCATCAATACAGAGCTTTCACCCAAGAAACAACTTTGAAGGGTCACAAGAGCGGTAACAAAAGTAGAAAAAGTGATTATACAGGAGCAAATATATTTTTGTTGGGGTTGAATAGTTCAGTAAAACTAGATCTTGTGGTGGTGAAACACCTGACTGTGGTAATGCTATCTGTCTAGGCAAGCAGAACAGCGGACAAATATCCACACCATAATCATGTAGGAGAAAGATAATGATCATTTAGTAACCTTCCTTCCTCTTCAATATAAGGCTCCAGTCAAAACAAGTAGGGGGAAAAACCCCAATGAAATATAAACAAAATTAATAAAATCTATAGATTTTTCTATCAGGTTCATGAATATTTTAATTTATTAAGCAGAAACTACAGTCTCATTGACAAATGAAATTTCTCAACAGAAGGAACTGTTGTTACACAGTGAAAGTTTTCTCCAACTTTGTGCATGACATAAAATATTGAAACTAGCACATTAAAAGAAAACAGTTTGGACAGTTTGACAGGTCACGTGTCAAATACAGATTGTAAGAGTCAAGAGTTAAAAAAACCCGCTATTTCTCTGTATTAAACTTTCTTTTTCCCTTAAGGATTGCCTTGCAGAAAGATACTTCTGTACTCACCTCTCCAAATCCACCTTTGCCTAGTACTCGATAATGCCTAAATGTGTGTTTGGTTACTGGTTGCCTGATTAACAGAAAGAAACAATTACTGCAACAGGAATTACCAGAGTTAATAATCCTCTCCCGACCCCAAGGTCTGTCTTCATTTTCTCCTTCTTGTTCTATAACATCTTACTGAACAAGTTGCCTTGACCTCACAAAGACAGTACTATAACAAGCTGAATTTCAAATGAAAGGGGTGTTCTGGTTAGAAACATTGGCTCCCTCATGTGGTCATCAGGCATTCACAATAGCAGGAAGAAAAGCTGATCAATTAGGCCCTATGCTGTTTACATTTAGAGCCTTATCTGTTCTCCTCAAGTCAATTCATCACCTCCAGCTGTCCCCTTTGGTTGCAGCATGGTGACATGCAGGCTGCATTTCAAAGAGACCATGCTTGTAGTGCAGCATTTAAAAGGTTAAAACCGTTTCTGAGTTTCTTTTTTGAAAAACCAAAACAACAAAGCAAAGAGTTGTGGTATGCAACAGCAGTTCAAGAGCTGAATTGTTAAGGTATTGATGTAGAGGAAGAGGAACAAATAACTGGAGGCAGTAAAGGTGTCAGCCATTCTATGCTAAACACTCCTAAACATGTACCAGAGCAGGGCTGTTGCATGGTGGTGGGTTTTTTGGTTTTAGAAAAGCATTCCTTGTTAATGCAGTTTAGTTCTCAGGACTACAAGGGGACGTTCATTTGGTAGACAATTTGGCTTAATTGTTTGAGTAACTTCCCTAGTTCTCTCCCTGGCACTTGCTACTAACTCAGATAAATAAAGACACTGGATAATTAGAATTTACCAAAAAATTAATGCTCAAGCACCTTAATGTTTGAATATGTGAACATGATACCCAGCAGTGCTGAATAAGAATCAATTGGTACCAATTTCTGCCTTCTGAAAAAGTCTGGACAGGCGTTTATTATTGATGTAAAAGCCTAAACGAGAGTCTGATATATATATACATAAATCTGGCTGTCTTGTAATTATTAGATGTGTCTGTACCACCCTGAAAAACTGGTTACCCCATCACCCAGTGTGTTATAAAACTAGATTAATCTGCTTATTAACCACTAATTAGACCAACTTTGAAACTAAAGGATGATAGGATTGATAGCCAAACACACTCCCATATGATGACAAACTTGCATTTACCCAATAAAAATTTGCCACTTAAAGACTACTGGACAGATAGTTCTCCTGGAGTGTTGGCTCTCTCGCTGTCCCATCAACATAATCCGTTACATCTTGTCTTTGAGATCGTAATTTCTTCGACAGGCAGTATCATTCCTAAGGGCTCTACAGCATTTCTAGCATAACAAGCAGAATTGGCCTCAAAGCAAAGCAAACTTACAATGCAAGTATTATAAAGAAACTTACTTTTCCAGCCATTTCCACTGTAAAAACCGGGAAAAATACACACTTTCTTGGTAAGCTTCAAAAGGTCTTCTGCTTAGGTACTCATGGACAATTCTAGCAAGAGGAAACAAAATCAATCATACTGAAAAAAACTGATGAAGCAGGAAGTGCTATCAATCTATTAAAACATACTTCAACATATCAATGACGCTGTATACAGAAAACCTTTGTCATTGTGCTCTAAGATGGTTTGAACCAAGAAGTCTCACAAAGTGAGTGCCTGTCACAGAAAACTGTTCCTGTCAAAACACTATTGAATGCCAAACTACTGTTACTTCTGGTATCTAGAAAATTTGACCTCTGCATTCTCATTAAGTGTCTTCAAGCCCACCTAAACATCAGCCTCTCAGTAGTTATGCAGTTCATGTATGACCCCACAAATACGACCTCTGAAACACACTTACAGGAAAGTATCTACAGATTTTCATACATTCATTGGAGACTGGTAAGTAAAATTTTATTCTAGTATTTGAAATAGAAATACTAATTGCCATATCCAAACCTGAACGAACACCAGGGACCTTAGCATTCCCTTTAAACTAACCACAGAGAGGGGGGAAGGGAGGAAAACAAGCCATTATAACTGCATTCAGTTATTTATTGGACAGAGGAAAGGGGATGAACTACATGACAGAACCTCCACTTGAGACATGTTTTACTACGTGTTCTCACACATCCCTTTCAATTCTATAAAGTACGCTTATTTTTGTTGCCAGGGAGATGACCCAAGCAGTGACAAAGTGTGTTGTAATCCTTCAGACATGATCAAGCATGCCTTGAAGAACCAGTAATATTAGAAACATGAAGGCTTTTGAAAGACATGCAGCACTGGTAAACATGTACCAGTCCTCCAAGAAAAGCCTTCCCTGCTGCTGCTGTGTGAAATATCACTTCATGATTTCAGAACAGCATCAAGTTGTATTTGTTTGTGTTAACTATCACAATCTATCCTCTGATCAGCCATCTTGATGAAATATAACTGTTGGCCTCAATTCAGCCCATTTTCAAGAACCATAAGTTGTGTAACATTTTTCAGAAATCTTTCAAGCTCCAGTTTATGACTTTATATTTTTCTGAGTACCTTCATCAAGGAACAGAAGTCACTCAAAAGGTAAGAATATAATGAAGAGAAATACTATTCTAACTTACAGAATATTTGATAGCAGATAATAGTGTGATTTTGTGCAAAAATAGCATTGAAGAACAAGCTCTGCAAAGTCAAGCATCTAAATCACATCTGAAGGAAACCTAGTCCTGTAATGAATCTGTTCCAGATTTCTTACCTACACTCCCTTCAGAGACCAAACACTCCTGGGTGTAATAACGTCACCTTTCTTATCTCTCAGGAACACACAAATTTTTCTTGTGATATTCAAGCTTAGCACTACGCATTTTTAACTTACCTAGTACAGTCCATAAAAAGATCCTTAGAAGGGTTGTTTCGCAGTCTTGCTCTACATTCATTTACTGTTTCCTGAGGTATTTCTGGGAAGTGTGCTGCAGACTTTACATAATTTAAAAAAAAAAAAAAAGGCAACAATGAAATGAATTCTGTAAATCAATAGAATGACAGTTCTGTATTCAAAGTGAAATGAAATCTTCTAATACAGGAAAAGGAAAGGAATGGTTTGGCTGAAGAGAAATGCAAGGTGGCCATATTCAGGTAAAACTTTTATTTGTTCCCCATTACAGAAAAATACACTGGAAGCTATTACAGTTATTTACTATTTCAATATACAGGGAAACAAACATGGCAATAAGTCAAATTTCTTTCCC